AGGCCCTTTCCCCGGCGGCCTCCGGGACCTCGCCGAGCCTCCTGGAAGAGAAGGGTCTATTAGAGAAAGTTGCTAACCCTTGTTGAGGGCCGGGCGTTCACCCGCGAAGACGTTTAATCTGCATCTCAGTCGTGAGGGAGAGATTGGCGTCCTGTTCACAGAGGAGGAAACAGGCCCCCAAAGGTGAAATCATTTGCCCCAGGTTGTGCAGCTGCGAAGTGGCAGCTCTGGATTCAGAGCGAGTCCTGGCCGACGCCGAAGCTCTTCGCCCCGCTGCGGGGTTCGCCGGCTTGACCTGGGATGGGAGTCCCGGGGTGGGGGGTGGGGGGTGAATTAACAGTTTCTGCAGCGTCGTAAGTTCTCCAGGTCTGCGAGGGGCCCCGGAATCTGTATTTTCAACATCGGTCCCCTGACACGTAATAACATATTGCTGCCCCGAGAACGGAGCAAGAACTGTAGCTAATTGTCGTGTTAAGCTTTTAAGGCCTCAGTTGAGAGAAAATGTCAAACGAGAGCTTCCTCTACACGTCTTGTGGGACTGGAGAGTTGGTATTTTGGGGCAGATGACAGCCTCTATCATCTCCCCACGTATTAAATGAGAAGAATTACATATTTGTTACCTGGGGAATTTGTTAAACATTCGGATTTCTGGGCGCCCAGCCCAGCTGTCCTGAATCAGAAAAAAGAGGTCCTGGTAATCCGTAGGCTAAACAGGCTATGAAATAAGCTTGTTACCTTCGAGAACCTGCGGTGAGAAGCTTTTTAGATAGGCTCATAAAGAAATGGATCATAGTTTCAAAACACGCCTAAGCCTCCCTGGTGTTGGTAGGTCTGCATGCTCCTGTATGTGCTGTGAACTAAAACTTTACTGGTGAAAATGCCAAAGTAATATGACATTACTGGCCATTATGAGGTGGAGTCTTCAATTAGCTGGAGACTGGAACAATAAAATTTGAATAGTAATACATCTGCTATTGACTTCTTGAGTGATGTTAGTGAGGCACTTAACCTTGTGGTCCTCTTACATGTCTCCACAAGGCTTATTACACTTGTATCCACAGGAAGGGGAAAGGGAAACATCGATGTGAGAGAGAAACATCAATCAGTTGCCACCCATATGTGCCCTGACTGGGGATTGAACTTGCAACCTAGGTATGTGCCCGACTGAGAATCAAACCTGCAGCCTTTTGGTGGAGGGGATGACGCTCCAACCACCTGAGACATCTGGCCAGGGCAAGGCCGTGAATGTTTGTAATGAGCTTCGAGGGAAGTTTGATGCAACCAGTGTTATAGGATATGGAAATGGGTTCGGAAACTGAATCTTAGCCTATTTCTCAGTTTCCAGGTAGGTGGAGTATTAGTTTCCTTAACTTCTGCTCTGGGGACTCATAAGAGTAATGTCGTTTATAATGCTAGTTTTAGGATTTCTTAATGTGCACTTGTGAATGAAGGGAAGGTACTATAATAAGATTGCAAAAGGTAAACCTTAACAGCAGCAGCCCTAAGTGATTTAGTAGGCTTTTTGATTGAGATGTTGTGATGCCAGAAGTTGGTTTTATATAGACGCTCTGATTGCTGTTGAGCAATCTCTTCTGCCTGAAAGGATTATAGTTACCCTTTAGTAGTATAAGTTCTCACAACCCCTATTAAAAGCACGTGTGTGTGTTTTTTAAACAGGTAACCATTGTGCGGTTCATCAGCAATGAAATCTTCTGAAAGCTGAGAGCAGAAGCCTTTTTGGTCAACATGGAGGACAAAAGACGGCGAGCCCGCGTGCAGGGAGCCTGGGCCGGCTCAGCCAAGAGCCAGGCCGTTGCTCAGCCAGGCAAGAACCAGTGGGGACCCTTGCGTGTGAATGTGGACAGCTGTCATCCTCTTTTCTTTATATCCCTCTGGTTTATAATGGACTCCCATTTCGATGTTAAAGAGTTATTTAAAATGTAGCTGGTATTTTCTCTGAATTTGTTGACGGTGAGCTAAGGGTTGATCTTTAGTGTTTCTCCCATTTAGTCACTACACTCAGATTTCGATGTTAAAGAATTATTTAAAATGTAGCTGGTATTTTCTCTGAATTTGTTGACGGTGAGCTAAGGGTTGATCTTTAGTGTTTCTCCCATTTAGTCACTACACTCAGACCTTTCAGTGCGTGTGTTGAGGTCTTCAGTAGATGTTACTAATTAATTTGTAGATGTCATGGAGGTCACCTCTAAGTGGATTTCATTGGTCCTTGCTCAGTAGGAGGTGATGAGAGCAGACTTTTCTCTCTCTTGCTTCAGCTACCACTGCTAAGAGCCATCTCCGCCAGAGCCCTGGTCAGACCTGGACGAACAAGGAGCATCAATTGTCAGACAAACAATTTGTATTTAAAGAACCCCAGCAGGTAAATGCTTGTTTCTCCTTCAACATTAACAGATTGTTTATAAGTTATATTCACATGGTAGACACTCAAATAAGTAGTGACTGAATAAATTCACTAATAAAAGGAAAGTTAAAGGACTATAATAATAATGAAATGGAGAATATCAATTTCTTAGTATGTCTGAGAATTCTTTGTCGTCTTCCCCCAAATTATGGGCATGTATAAGTCCCCCTTTTTTTTTTGGCACATAGGCTATTCATGATTAGAGATTAGAGGTTGCAGCATGGCTAGAGCTTTCATTGCTGTGTTCGGTGCTCATGCAGCAAATGTCTCTGGAATTGGATTGAAATTTCAGCAACTACAATGCTTGATAGCTTTTTTTCCATAGGGAAAAATGTAAGAAACAGTGAAGATTCACTGTTTTTAATAATAAGGGAGAAAGCTAAATGTCAGGCATCATGCTATAGCAGTGATTTTCAACCTTTTTTATCTAATGGCACATGTAAACTAATTACTAAAATTCTTTAGCACACCAAAAAGTATAACTTTTGTCGATCTGACATTTAAAAAGGTATAATTTTGATTGGTTTACCAAAAAGAAAGTTTTTATCTATTTTTCTCCAGTGTGACTTTTTAAAGAATCAGGTGCCTATACTTGTATATAAGGATTCTAGTACCAAGAATTAACCAATCAGACGCAACCTGATTATGTGACATAACCAATAAGATGCAACCCTATTATATGACCTATATATTTATGGTTCAGACAGGGCATTCACACTGGATAGCTGTTGTTGTGTTGGCTGTTATCATTTTCTTATTTGACAGTCTAAGACAAAAGAGGTCAGTGCCCCTGACTAAAGAGTCAGGTATTGCGTGTTTTAAAAATTATTGTGGCACATCAATTGAAAATTGCTGTGTTCTAGTAATGATTTTATAAATGATTAAAACCCCTAACTTTATAGAATATCTTCTGTTTTAAAAAATCTCCTGGAAAGGTTTTCCTAATGCTGGCTATTAGGAAAATGGATTAATTCCAATTGCATCGTCTTTTTTTTTTTTTAATATATTTTATTGATTTTTTACAGAGAGGAAGGGAGAGGGATAGAGAGTTAGAAACATCGATGAGAGAGAAACATCGATTAGCTGCCTCCTGCACACTCCCCACTGGGGATGTGCCCGCAACCAAGGCACATGCCCTTGACCAAAATCAAACCTGGGACCCTTGAGTCCGCAGGCCGACGCTCTATCCACTGAGCCAAACTGGTCAGGGCTGCATCGTCTTTTAACTCTCACTAGTAACTAAGAAGAGCAGAAACAAGGGTTTCTGGTGGGATAGTAAGAGTTTGGAATAAAAAAAGGATACTTTTGAACCTAAATTATTTTGACCAGAATGAAAGGAAATGGTAATCCTGCTAGTCAGCCTCCCTGAGGGTGAGGAGCCATTCCACAGTAAGATCTGCCTCTTTCCTTGCAGGTGGTGCGCACAGCCCCTGAGCCTCGAGTGATTGAGTAAGTAATTTGCTGCCTTCCTCTAGCTCAGCGGTTCTCAACCTGTGGGTCGCGACCTCTTTGGGGGTCGAACGATCCTTTCACAGGGGTTGCCTAAGACCATCGGAAAACACATATATAATTACATATTGTTTTTGTGATTAATCACTATGCTTTAATTATGTTCAATTTGTAACAATGAAATTGGGGGTCACCACAACATGAGGAACTGTATTAAAGGGTCGCGGCATTAGGAAGGTTGAGAACCACTGCTCTAGCTGTTGCCTGCACTGAAATGGAGAGTCTAGGATTGTTCCCTCACCCTGGTTTTTCCATCTGGAAGAGATAACAGCTCAGTTAGTGTCTTAATTTTAGGTTGGGATATTCCTATCTCGGATGTCTTTAAGCTGGGTCTTTTGAGAAGCCTTTCTGGATTTACTGATGGTGTGGAAAGTGCAATAAGATATTCTACGTTAAATTCTGACTGGTGTAGATTTCCTGACCCTACTTCACTAATATGACTGCAGATAGCTAAAATATCTCCTAGGTTAAGACGGGGTGTGGGGGAGTATTTTTCCTGAGTCATTGGAACATGGCTCTTTGAGAAGCCTTTAGGTACCATTTTACTAGCAATGCTTATGAAAGCTGCTAAAAATCTAGATGACCCTACAGTCTATTTCTTAAAACCACATAATTGTTTCAGAGCAAGTAAATGATAGTAAACATTTCATTCCTCTTATATTAATGTGTCTAAAATGTTCTTTTCAAAAATTGTTAAAGATGCTTTGACTCCTCTTTTCCTGCTTTTCAATTTCCATCTGATGTACATAAATTGTCAGTCAAAAGCATCCTTTTATTTTAGCAGGTTAGCATTATGCTTATGTTATTGCTCATGAGCAGTCTGTTAAGCTGTTTGGCTGTTAAAGTTTGACTTATATATCTTAGAAATATTTTAAACTAACACAAATGTCATCACCCTTTCTGAAAGGGTATGTTTTTGTGGGCTTGCCACTAGTTGCTATGTAACTAGTCCTTAGGTAAGTTATTGTCATCTCTCTAGGCTTTAGTCTCTTTGTCTGTAATATTAAGTGTTTTGACTACTTAATCCCATAAAGCCCAGTCTAGTAGCTCTGACAGTCTTTGATTGTTTTACAAATACCAGTGTGATATTGTCTCCATTCGTGATAAAGAGAATAAATAAAACCATGAAACCTGTTACAAAATGGGCAATTGTGAGTTTGGAAGTCAGGAGCAAAGTGACAGAACTGATTGCTGTTTAACCCTAGGGTTTGTTAATTTTGGTTATCTAAAGTTAGCTGTGCTAGATTTTTTTAATAGCCAGAAGTGTGGCTCACATTTAAAGTGAGCCAGCTTCTAAATGTGGCCCAAAATATATCACATAGCAACATTGTATTCACACTCTGGGAATTCACACACAACACGTTTAGAAATGTGATCAATACTGTATCTGTAACAGTAGTTCTGCTACATTTTGGTTCAGAGGAACTCACACATCTACCTAAGAAACTGCTCAGAGATTGTGAACTACTCACTCACATGGCAGAGGGGTGTGTGAAAACTGTTCCTTTACATTATGCTCCTGTTCAGAGATTGTGAACTACTCACATGTCAGAGGGGTGTGTGAAAACTGTTCCTTTACATTATGCTCAGTAACGTACCTCTTTCCAAGAAGTATCTGACACAGTTATCTGGATAGAGGCACCTATCCAGTCGGGAACATTTCTCTTACGCAGACCTCGCCACCCAGCACATATGCAACAGTTTTGTACTGTTGCAAACTTGATTAAATTCACTTAGCTTTTATTGCTCAACTACTATGTGCTAGGTGCTGGGAAACAGAGTAATAACCCATTTCTTGCCTCTCAGTAGCCCACAGTCTAGTAAATGAAATGCACATGTGACCAGGTACATTGTAATCCTGTGTATCATGAAACAGTAGATTTGTATGTGAGTTCTTATGGTAGCACAGAGGACGAGATGTTAACATTTGGGTGGATTTAAAGGTCAGGAAGGTGATGCTGAGCTGAAACGTGGTGGTGTAGTCAGGAGAGTCCAGGCAATAAAGTTGGTCGAGCCAGGAGGTGGAGCCAGGTCACAGGGACATTAAATGCAGTGTTTTTTTTGTTTGTTTGTTTTGTTTTGAAAATATATTTTATTGGTTTTTCACAGAGAGGAAGGGAGAGGGATAGAGAGCTAGAAACATCGATGAGAGAGAAACATCCATCAGCTGCCTCCTGCACACTCCCCACTGGGGATGTGCCCGCAACCAAGGTACATGCCCTTGACCGGAATTGAACCTGGGACCCTTGAGTCCTCAGGCCGACGCTCTATCCACTGAGCCAAACCAGTTAGGGCTAAATGCAGTGTTGACAAGTTGATGCGGAGCCTTGAAGGACTTTAATCAGAGGAGGAACCTCATTAGACATGCATCTGAAAGCAACAGATGCGCACAGCCCTTGCTACCTGTTAGATGCATCCCTTTTCCAGAGTTTCCAAAGGAGCACTCTATTTGGCACTATTTCGGCCTAAAATATGGGTGAATAGAAAGGGATAGGATCAGAGTTTATGTTATTACAGCCTTCATCTCGTGGTCTGATCTTGTCAGGATCTGTTCCCAATGCCATTAATGATGTACTGCCATCTCGCCCCTTATCTCAGTGATAGAAGAAGGTGGGGCTGTTCTTGCCCTCATTGTTAAATGACTTTGGTGAGCCAGGACTTTGAGAATCCAAAGGACAGCCTTTCCACTGGGTGGAGGGTATTGTTTTGTTTGATACTAACAAGTCTGTCTTCTTTGTTTCTTTAGCAAAGAGGGTGTATATGAAATTAGCCGGTCACCCACAGGCATATCTCGGTAAGTGACATTAATCAATGCATAAGTGTACTAATTGTCACTATAAAATAATGAGGCATTTAAAGCAAAATATATCAGAACTTACATATCTAAATTAATTGCTTAGAAGTCTCTGTAATTACTCAGTGGCACTGCCATTGTTATAACCCTTTCTGGAGCCTCCCTTTTAAAGCAAGTTTAACAGTCATACAAGGAAACCAGTTGCATTATTTTGGTCACATCTCATTGTTAACCAGGTATAGCTTAAGGTGAGCTTTGGCTCTTTCAGAATATCAAATGCATCTTCAAAGAGTAAAAAAGTTCAAGAAAATGTCCCAAGGGCTTTCAGAACACTCCTTAACACATTTTGTACCACTCAGGAGTTTTCTCGTGTTTCGCGTGCCATCTGTTAAGGACCGCTCACGAGTGTTCTCGTTTTTCACGCCCATGGAAAAAGGAGCGAATCTAGATACTTATGTAAATTTTGTTTGGTCCCTCTTCATAGAGGAAAATGTTTTACGCAGTACCATACGTTAAAAAAGTACTAGGAACTTTAATTGTTTTTGTAAATAAAAATGTTATAATTATTGAAAAACAACACCTAAAGTGCATTATGATGATTTAAATAACGTGCAGTTTGCCCAGAAACGTGCGGTCCCTGGCGTATGTCTTAGAGATTTCTATGCGGTACACAATGTGTTAAGAAGGATCTCCAAAAGGATTTGAACTAACTTAGCAGTGTTGAAATAAGTGTATATACAGTGAGAGAAAGAACCATCATTTGGATATTTTAATTTCAATGTAATCATAAGTTATTGTTTCCCCTACAATTGACATAGTATCAGAAGAATACCAGTTGTTAAAATGACACAGGGCCAGGCTTACTTTACTTTTCACAGCTACCCTCTGAAGTGGATATGAACTTCATGTTACAGGTTACAAAAACCAAGGTTCAGAGGTTAAATAACTTGCCCAAGGTTTCACCGCTAAGCAGTGCTGAAGCAACATTTGAACCATGTCTATAAGAGCCCTTATGAATCCCTTTATCCTTCATGCTGCTTTTATTTGTCTTAACACAAGTTTATTTTACATCTGAGCATCGTGACCTGGGTGATGTTGGGCTTTGCTTGCTATGGGAGGTGTGGTGAGATGATTTCATCTCCCCGTGAAAGGAGGCATCATCCAACTTAATTCACTCTGCTAACAGAGTCTGCAACCCGTCTTTTTTGTGTTGTTTAGTTACTAATGGTTCTTTCTGCTACAAGGGTGTGTTTGTATCCTGGCTTTGTTGACTTAAGAGAAGCCGACTGGGTATTGGAGCAGCTTTGTCAGGAAGTTCCCTGGAAACAGAGGACCGGCATCAGAGAGGGTAAGTGGATCTCTGAGATCGCAGCTGTTGCCGCCTGCCTCGCTTTCTGGAGTGTTTTCCAACACCGTTGCCTCTTTTCTCCACAGCTATCTTAAATAGAGATTCAAAGCCTACCAGGCCTCAAGGATGCGTAGAAATTAGCCAGTCAGAGAAAGGGGACAGAGGAGTAACAGGTGGTACTCAGAACATGGCAGGAGAACGGGGTGGGCGGGAGTTCAAGGAACCAGAGCGTTTGGGTTGGCCGAACTGTGGCTGACACGCTCACCTCCTTTTGTGTTTGTTCACTACCTTTATTCCATCACATGGTGCCAGTGTCCCCCTTTCTTCATAGAAACTTCCAGGGCTTTCAATCTTTTTCTGATTGTACTCGGCATACGTTTTTTCACAATCCTTCTTACCGGCTTTTTAGTCTCTTTCTTGTTTCACTGGAAGAGTCCCGTATCCTGTAGCTTCAGCTGTTCTCTCCTGAGCTTGTCAAGATTACCTGCCTTGGAGCCTGCTCTGTGGTCAGCCACAAGCTACTAGAGCACCTGTAGTACCAGAGGGGGCCACTGAGGGGCATCTGTGCTCTCATACAATTTCTTTCTGGCAAATCAAGTGAATTTAAATTTTCCGTAAAAAAAAGGCGAAGTATACTGGCTTCATTTGACTCAAACATCAGAACAACTCAGCTCTCTCTCCTCACTCCCAGCAGTTTCTATAGCAGGGCTTTTGGTGACAGACTTGCCTTTGATTACAGACTTCGTTATTCAAAGTAATTGTTAATTTTAAGCAAAATACAGTAATTTTCTAGTCCTTAGTTTTCAGATCTGTGAAATGGAGCTAATAATAATAATACCTACCTTATAAGGTTGTTGTGATAATTAAATGAGATAATGCATGGTAAGTACTTACCAGAATGGCTGGTACATAGTAAGCCTTCAATGAATGTTAGCTGCTTTTACTATTATTGTTCTTATTGTTGTAGTAGTTGATACCAATTGCAGGGGAAAATAGATCTATGAATAACTCCCTTTCTAAATAAATTGGACATAAAAAACTTGTAAAATCAGCTGCATGCTGTGGTTGGTCAGAGTACGTTTTTCTTTGTTCAGAATCAAAGGGGCTTATATGGTGGTGACACATAGGTAAATGGTCTGTCTTATTTCTTTTAAAAAATATGTATATTTTTATTGATTTGAGAGAGAGGGGAAGGGAGAGGGAGAAAGAAACAGCAATCGGTTGCCTCCTAGGGGCACCCATACCGGGGACTGAACCCACAACCTGGGCTTGTGCCCTGACTGGAAATTGAACTGGTGACCTTTTTGGTGCACAGGACAATGCTCAACCAACTGAGCCACCCCAGCCAGGGCCTGTTTTGTTTTTTTGTAGGGATGTTGGTGCCACAAATTCCTACCTACAAAGCTTCAGACTCTGGGTCCTGCTTTTTAGATCCTCCTTGTCTCTTGTTGACTCCTTCATTCTTATTTGTGTCTGACACAACTAAGTCACACGTTCTCACCTCATAGTTTGCTCAGATTGTTTCTGCCAACACCTCTTCTCGTCTTGAAATCGCATGTTCTCTATGAAGGTGGAGCCTGGGTCAGAGCCCATCCTTGCTCTGCCTTTGTATTTCTCATAGCTTTTTGCACAGTGTGGTTAGCACTCAGTAGGTACACCTTAAATAGCATTAAACCATTTCAAAGGCCCTGTATTTTCTTTCTCAGATGTAACTTACCAGCAACCAAGACTCACAGCATGGTATGGAGAACTTCCTTACACTTACTCCAGAATCACTATGGAACCAAATCCTCACGTATGTTGGAACATTGCTGTTGTATTTCTTTACATAACTGTAGAGTACTAGAAAAGAACAATAAAACACCTTACAGAGCTGCATGATGGTTCCTAGTTCAAAAACCCTCTGGGTTCAAACACTGAGTCTGTGCGTGCACCGTCATTGGTGAGAAAATGTGGAACTGAAGTAAAATGGGATCAGACTCCCGGATTTCAGGAAAATGAACCACTTCTTCTCCTGTCTCCCCCTTCCCCAAGCCTTTCTGGCTGCAGCCCTCTGTGCATACCCTGGGGCACATTTGCTGTGAGCCCAGAGTCCTTACGGCTGGCCAACGAGGTCAGAATGTCTCTTCATTTTTCAGGCTGTGTTGTCATTTGTGGAAAACATTGGTGTTTTTCTTGTTGACTTTGGATTTCTTCTTAGACCTCAACTTATTGCTTTGGCTTGTTTCTAAAAATTTCCATGACAGACAAAGAGATGCTAGTATATAAATTAAGCTTGTCCAGAGGATGGAGTTGAGATCCAAGAAACAGCTCCTTGTTTAGTCCCTGGAATCTTGCCTTTGGCAGATAATGTTATGCTTATGGAAAGAGACTTTGAAGAAAATGGAGTTTGCTTACGGTATTGGGATAAACAGAAATGTGACATGACACACTTCAGAGCTTCCCATAATTTATAATTATAAACTATCCCTGTGCTAAAATGTTCGTGGGTAAAACATTGGTGTGGGGTCGTGGCTTTTTTACGTAAGGAGAGAGCTCTGTGCTTTGTTTCTGGGCTGCATCTAGAGTGTGATCCAGGGAGGTGTTGAGACCTTATATCTGAGGTTGGTTTGGAAACAAGAGAATGGAACTAGGCCAACCCAACATAGACTGCTGCATGTTCCTGTCCGAATTAATGTACCTTTTTGTCAGCAGTCACAGCAGAGAAGCTGAGGATTCAGCAGGCTGTGGGAGAGAAGCTCCTCATTTATTCTAGTTAATCCTTTAGAACAGGATTCCTCAACCTTAGTATTACTGCTTTGGGCTGGTTAATTCTTCTTTGTTGGCGCTGTGCTGGGCATTGTAGGGTGTTTAGCAGTTAATCTGACTTCTGCTCACTGAATGCCAGAAGCACTCTCACCACATCATGACAACCAAAAGTGACTCCAGACTTGACCAAACATCTGCTGAGGGGCAAAACTGCCCCTGGTTGAGAACCACTGCTTTAGAATAAACATAAGGCACATAAGATCTGTTGAGTAGAGTAGTCTTTTATGCTTGGAGGACATTTTGACAACTCTTAAAGGGTATTTCTTTTAATGGCAATCCTTTTATTATAATGTAAGTAATAAGTATGTATTATTGAAAATTTAGAAACTGCAGATAAACATGAAGAATACCAAAATTTTGGGTAATTCTTCCACCTGATGTTTTGGTTCCAGTCTCTTTATTTCATTTTAGGCAAATATATGAAAAGAATACAATAAATTACGTATACTTAATTTCTTTTTTATAATTTAAATTTTGTTTTTTAGTTACAGTTTACATTCAGTATTACTTATTTTGTATTAGTTTCAGCTATACAGCATTGTGGTCAGTCAGTCATATACTGTACAAGGTTATACCCCAATATTTCAAGCACCCACCAGGCACCATATATAGTTATTACGACACTGTCGACTATATACCCTGAGTTGTACCTTGCATCTCTGGGACTGTTTTGTGACTACAAATTTATAGTTCTTAATCCCTTCACCTTTTTCACTCAGTCCTCCAACCCCTGTCCTTCTGGCAACCATCCATCAGTCTTTTCCCTGTATCTGTGAGTCTGTTTCTATTTTTATTGTTTAGTTTGTTCTTTAGATTCCACATGTAAGTGGAATCATACGGTATTTGTTTTTTTCTGACTGACTTATTTCACTCAGCATAATACCCTCTAGGTCCATTCATTTTATTGCAAATGATAAGATTTTATTCTTTTTTTTTAAATTGATTTTAGAGAGAGAGACAGAGAAACATCGATTTGTTGTTCCACTCATTTATGCATTCATTGTTGCTTTTTTTAAAAAAAATATGCTTTTATTGATTTCAGAGAGAGAAAGGGAGAAAGAGAGTAGCATAGATGTGAGAGATAAACATCCATTGGTTGCTTCCTATACACACCCCTACTGGGGATCAAACCCAAAACCTAGGTGTGTGTCCTGACCGGGAATCAAACCCATAACCTTTTTTTTTTAATTGATTAAGGTATTACATATGTGTCCTTATCAAACCCATAACCTTTTGGTGTATGAAACAATGCTCCAACCAACTGAACCACCAGACCAGGGCATTTCTCATATTTTTAAAGGGGGATTTACTAATGTGTATATATGTGTGTATTGGGGATACTTGTTTGATTTTAAAATAATTATCTCAATCTTAATATCGTGTAACACAGGAGCAGATTCAATCATAGGTTATTAAACTTCTTTTAGTCTTTGCTCAAACTAAATCTCATATGAACCCAATATATGGAAGTAGCAGAGTGCCTTAGCTGCCTGGAGTCCCACCACTTGGCCTTTCCTTTCCCCTGTGGTAATCCCAGAGGCACCTCTGAGGTACCTAGGACTGTACAAAACACTGTTTGAAATCCACTGAATGGGTCCTTTCACTTCTGCGATTCATATTTTCTCAGACTCTTTTCCTCAAATGTCTTTTAAGGATAGCATGGCTTCGCTGCACAGTGAGATGACGCTGAATTTTAATTTAGACATTCAGCTCTGAGGGATCTGTATATAGAGTATTGGGTGGAGAGTCTAAATTAATCCTCTAGTTCATTATCCCCCTTTTTCTCCTTTTCTCCTTACTTCACCACCAAAAATAACCAAGAAAAAAATACATAGCCACTTAGAAACATAATGCAAACCTGGTGTTATTACAGTGCTCAGTCCTGAAGCAAGTCAGGGAAGTGCTAATTGGTTTCTCACATAGCAGAAAAGCTATCTTCCTTCGTTACATTATGGTTTTTCTTGTTGAGTATAATTCTAGCATCTGATCTTTATCTCCATGAAGTTAAGCTTAAAGCTATAAAATAAATAGGAAATATGGCTTGCTAACATTGTAATGGAATTTCACTTTGAAAATTATTCTCTTGAATATGGGGTAATTTAATAAGATTTCTGTTTTATTGATCTAAGTTTTGTTCTTATCACTGTTTATCTTTAAAAATCCTCTGTTAGAATGCAATGCTAACATTCATAACAAGGAATCCCAGCTTTTGCTATGGTTTCCCTATCACAGCAAAGCTGAATGATTCCCCCATATGCTTCCCTGGCAGTTTTACCTGACAGTAGCCATGGGATATACATAATAATAATAATAATATAATAACATTATTATTATGCTTTCCTTTGCTAAACATTCATTCCTTCGCTACCAAACCTCAAACATGGACTTTGAAGGGTTTCTGTAACGTATCAGTTCTTACAGTACAATCTATGGACCCTGGAGGAGGGCCATGAAATCCTCTTTGGAAATCCACAAGGTCAAACTATTTTTATAGTAATACTAAGTCTGGGTGACATGTTTACTATGTTGAATTTGCACTGATGGTGAATAAAAAAAGTAATGGTGGATATAACTTAGTTTGAACCAGGCATTGTCATCAAACTGTACTAATAACCATTGTATTCACATTTGTGCACTTCCAGTTTTTAAAAAAATGCTGGTTTCCTTTAAGAACATCCCTGGATGAAGCAGTAAACATTAGTTTTATGAAATCTCAATCTTTTTAATAGTTTGAGGAAATGGAAAGTATGTGCAAAGCATCCTGATACAGGCCCAGTATGGTGGTTATCAAGAAAAAACATGTGTGTGATTGTGTAAGCCATAAGCTGAACTGGCTACTTTTGTATGGACCATTTTTTCTTTGAAATATCAACTAGCAGACAAACTATAGTTATTCACACTTGAGTATTTGGCAGACATATTTTAAAAAATGAATGAGGTGAGTGTCACTTCAGGGAAAGCAACAGGATTTATTACTAATGATAAAGGTTGTATTTTCAAGCAAAAATTAGCATTTTGGAAAAACTCATAACCGCCACCTTGAACCTGACCTCTTCTCATTACTTTGCCTTTTCTGATGAGATCCATGGTAAAGTTAATGGATGTGATTTTTTTGATATTATATGATGAAATGTGTCAACAGTTAGAAGATCTGTATAACTCAGTGAACCAATGTTTCCTAGATGTTACAGAAGTATACAGGATTAAAAGATCCATTCGAAATGCAGCATGGACCAATGATTTAAATATAACAATATGAAAAGTTTGTTCAAACAGTTTCAGATTCCACATTGCAACTAACCTTTAGAAATCAGGGCTTGTTAAATTTTGGTGTGATATCAAAGACTATCTGTAATTATTTGAAAAGGCTATAAAAGACTCTATTTTCTGACCACATAACTGTGTGAAGGCAATTTTCTTCACATACTTCAGCAAAAACAACATACTGTAACAGATTGAATGCAGAAGCAGATCTGACAGTCAGCTGGCTTCAGTTAAGCCAGACATTAAAGAGACTTGCAAAGCAGTGCTGCTCTTCTCACCCATTGTTTGTATTAGAAAATATAGTTATTTTTCATAAAACATTATTTTGTTAACATATAATGAGTTTGCTATTTTTAAAATATATTTTATTGATTTTTTATAGAGGGTAAGGGAGAGAGATAGAGAGTTAGAAACATCGATGAGAGAGAAACATCGATCAGCTGCCTCCTGCACACCTCCTACTGGGATGTGCCCACAACCAAGGTACATGCCCTTGACCGGAATTGAACCTGGGACTCTTCAGTCCGCAGGCCAATGCTCTATCCACTGAGCCAACCTTGTTACGGCTATAGTGTCTTTAACAGTTTGCTATTTTTAAAATGAATTAACCAATAGCTAAATTTTTTTTTCAGCTATAATTTTTAACATGGCAAATCTCATAGCCGTAACCCATATAAACAGAAGGTCTGTGGGGTCCTCAGTAGGTTTTGATAGTGCAACCACTGTCCTAAAAGAAGCTCTGTAAAGCATTGCGTTTTCTTGGAGGAGAGACATAGAATTTTAACAAGAATCAATACAAGCTATGCTGCTTATAGCTCCAAAGTACAACCTAAGGTCAGGGGTCATAGCTTCCTGTAGTGTAGATTGTTATTTCTAAAGTATAAACTGCATAATGAACTTGGTGCTCAGGAGGCAGGGCTGTGGATCTGTTTAAATCTTCTCTAGTTCACAGACTGTACACTTATCAAGGCTATGTCATAATTTCATCCTGTAGAAAAGAGTATTTTCCCCCATTAAGTTGAGTTTCTAGGAAACTAACCACTCTGGAAATATTAAATATTTTTTAAAGCAATTCTGCCATTCACAATAAAATAGGAATAGGATGGACAGAGGGCCACCCAGCAAGAAAGTTGTTTCGCTCCTCACACTTTAGTCTGTGTTTGCTATCTACCTGGCAGCCCATCAACTGTGGTGCAAACCAGACTCACTGCTCCACTTCCCACCTTATTGACAACCAAAGTGACTGCCTTGAATGGACAGTTCTTCTTTCCAAGGGTCATGTATTTAACATGGAAAGGATGAGATGGGTAGATAGGCCTGGTCCTCATAGAGTTGTTATGCTAAGTTTAGTACCTTAATAAAATTGCAGAGATTAACTTGCTTCAAAATAGAAATAACGGATGGGAATTAAGCACTCTTCCTGCCTTCTGTCTATTTCATTCCAAGTGGTTTGCTTGTTCCATGCTCCTGTGTATAAAATGTGACTGATTTTGCATTTTCTTTCTGTTTTTCCATATGGCTCTCTGCTCCTTTCCTTGGCCTGGTCACTGCAGTGGCACCCTGTGCTGCGCACACTTAAGAACCAAATTGAGGAGAACACGGGCCACACCTTCAACTCCTTGCTCTGCAACCTTTACCGCAACGAGAAGGACAGTGTGGACTGGCACAGCGATGATGAACCCTCACTAGGGAGGTGCCCGGTCATTGCTTCTCTCAGTTTTGGTGCCACGCGCACTTTTGAGATGAGAAAGAAGCCCCCGCCAGTGAGTACTCTTTTTTGCTTTTAAACTTTTATGTTCTTCCTGCCTCCAGTTATTCTGTGAAAAAAAGAGTGCTCCTGTTTTCAGATTTAGAGGATAGAAGTGTGTGATTTGCTAATGAAACATTTTGAACTGATTGCTTACCCCATGGTTAACTTTTGACTTCTGAAGTGCCCATTCGCTCATTTACTTTTCTACCCGCCACTGCCTGCCATGTGCCAGGTGCTGGTAAAGTCCCTTTAGTTGTCTGCCAGTAGCAAGGGGATCTGCACTGTAACTATGGGAACTGATTTGATAAAAATACAGATCTAATAAGTAAGAAAATTTGTCCTTGGTGGAAAGGACAGGCACAGCCCCTGTCCTCCTGGAGACGGGATAGACAGATATTACTAATTACCCACATAATTACAATGATGGTAAATGCTATAAAGGAGGACTTATAAAGAGATGGCCCAAGCTAGAGGGGCCGAGAAGGGAAAGGAAGGAGTGTTCTTCATGGCACTGTTGCCTCTTCCCTGTGAGGAAGCATCACATGCATCTGCATTGCCTCCTTAGCCTTCTCCCGGAATACGGATGCACCTGCCATTTCTTCAGAGAGGAAGTTCAAGCCAGATGTTGGAGGTGGTGGTCTGTCCAAGTTCAGATAGAGAAGCAGTGACTAAACTGACTATTCAGTAATTTCATTTTTCCATCCCAGCTCTTTTATTATATAACATTGAGTAATACAAGGCTGTTAATTTTTTTTTTAAGTATAGAAGCTTAGGACTAAGGTAGATAGAAAGATAGTAGAAACTCTAAGAAAAAAAAATCTCTACCAAATTATCTTATTTCCAGAGTTTGTGTCTTTTTCTAACCAAGGTTCCCGATCATTCCTTTTACAATATTGAACCAGACCTAGGCAGTGTGGAAGGCCTGCGAGGCTGTCTTGAATATGACTTGATCCAGACCTCATAGATACTGTTAATCAAGCAGTGCTTGTGTCTGTCCTTCATCAAACATCTCTGAGAATGTAGTTAATGGACTGGACTGTTTCCTGACATGTGTTTGGGTTTCCCAGCACAGTATTTTGAAGCACAAGGTGTTATTTTACATTTATGCCATTAAGTACCGTTTGTATGTATAATTCCCATTGATTTAGGTTTTCTTTACTTTGTTTACACAGAAACCGATCAATGTTAGCAGGGGATTGTCAGTTGCCATTGAGTTAGTTATTGGGTGAACCTGCTCCCTGAGCACTTTGAGTAGCCTTCACACTCTCATTGGCAGTCGGCCTTCTCTTGTACCAGGGAATACCGTTCGAGAAGCAGACTGCCCGGCCTTTGCCATATTCCTTTTAGGTCTGCTTATGCTTTTCTACACAGGCTTCCACTCAGTTACATCCCAAGTTCACACATGGGAAGAATTCATCCTGCCCTTAGTAAGACTCCTGTTACATGAGTGGCAGAGAAACACCACGTCTCATTTGTTAATTCAGACCCTCTTCTCCGGCCAGTCATATGGAACACCAACTATGTGCTGGGTGTGGTCCTGGGCGCAGGGCTGTAGCTACGTAAAAGATGAAGTGATCCTCCCCCTTGGAGGTCATGATCCAGCACATACCAGTGCTGTGCCTTCCCCCCGGGTCATCCCTCCTTCCTTCCAATTGGCAAAAAGCTGTAATATGTCCAACAAAATCTTTACTGTAATCCTAGTGTCTAGTTCTTCACAGTTATTTTCTTTGTTCCCAAGTATTTACGTATTCAGTTACTGTTTCTTTACACCCGTACATTTACCATCATCCCCTTTTAAAAACATTTTTGGCCTCTTTATAGATTGAAGTTTAAGAGTTCCCAAAGCATTACTTCTGGATAATTAGTTTTACTGTATAAGCAGTCTCCAGCTACTATTAAGCATTAATAATGTTCTTGTGCCCAGAATATCCCCATTCCTTTTCGCCTCCAGGAAGCTGAAGGTCTTCATTTACTGATATAAAACATTCATGGTGTTCAAGAGCTGTTTCTTGGTAACATACTTCAGTTATGTTATAGGTTAATGCGTGGGTGGGGAATATAACTGTCACATAGCACTGTTTCTCAGGGCAACCGCTTGGAACAAAACGTGTTAAAGAGAGAGACTGCTCATACTGAAGCCCTATCTCCTCAAGGCATCTTGGAGTCTGTTTGATGAACACGAGGGAAAGTACAGGCCATGAAACACTAACAATGTGGTGAAGTCCCTTTAGTTGTTTGCCAGTAGCAAGGGAATCTTCACTGTAACTATGGTAGCTGAGTTGATAAAAATACAGATCTAATAAGTAAGAACATTTGCCTGAGATCTTGAAATAATGGTGGCAAAGGAAACAGATTTGGGGAGAAATATAAGTGTGTCAGTACCTCAGGTTATTGACTCTAATAAGTTTGGCTTCCTCCTACATAGTCTTAGCTATGATTGAACTTGATGCAATTGTATATTCCTTCAATTCTGGCTTTTGTTTAAGATGGGGAAGTTAAATGTTAATATATTTAAATTATGATCATGCATAAGTGAATACTGTTTGTAAATGAATTCCCCCCCGCCCCCCCCCCCCGAACCTGTAGGTCCCATTCTTGGGTAAAGAGGACCCACATTTAAACTTTTTCAAAAACTCCTGCCAGTTTCTTTAACAAATAAAAATCTAGGGCTCTGCAAATCCAGCAAAACTAGAATTGCAAAAGCCTTTCTTTAGTTGACAGCCTGCAATGCATCTAGAGCACATTGTCTTCATCCTATTAAAATGATAGCTTTCTGAAGGATTGAAAGGAAATGGTTATTGCAAGTCTTTGTCTACTTTCTTTCCACACTCCAGTGATAGCACTGAGAACATGAGAACATGACTCATGACTCATACAACCTCAGGTAAAACATAAATTTAAAAGCATAAATTGGGTGAGTCTGCTGTGTGGAATTTGTAGGAGTCTGACTTTCTGTAGCTCTTAGGCACCTGTCTTTGTATGGCACTATAGGTTGTAATTTTCCTGCCTGTCACCAAGACATTCAGAGTGTGCTAGAAGCTGTCAGAGGAATCCCTTTCAAAATCCAGTTTGTTTTAGCCTATCAGAAGGGAAGCTAATAGCTGTTTGACTTGAGTCAGTTTCTCATCTGAAACTGACATAGAAGAATCATGAGATTTCCTGCACTTCATTCAAATATGCAATGTTAAGACAAAGAGGCATCTGTTTAAATTATGGAGTACTTTCAAAGAGAAATAGTCTTTCTTTTTTACATTCACACTCCTCCACCCCTGCAGCAGCTGTTTGTTTTGGTCTGGCACCTTAAGCAGATCTCTGTAGCTGCTGATCTTCTGAAAGCTGTTCCAGTTCCTCACATTGTCGTCCTAACAAGCTCTCCCTGTGCTGAGATGGTAAGGAGATCTTTGTTTCCTAAGCATCAGTGCCCCTCTGATTCATGCAGTTGGCTCAGTCAGTTTCATGCTTGCATCATCCCTGGGATTACACATTTCTCTCCTCCAAGATGTCCATCCTTTTTCACTGTCCTGCCCATTCATTGTGATTGTAGAGTAGGTTATTGTTTCCTTTAATGATAATAAGGTGCTTGGGGCATATTAAACTAGTCGGATCTTGCTCTTCCATTCACCCCATCCCTTTTGTTAATTCAGTTAAAGACTGAGTGAATAGCACACTTCTATCTATCTACTTACTTGCCAATGTCAGGATATACCGTCTTAAGACAAAAGTAAACTTTACCAAATATACCTCAGTAGACATTGTTTAGAAACCAAGAACCTTTTTTATTCCAGCAAGCTGAGTTTGTTAAAGCTTTTCTGCACTCCTTGTCCCAAATGCAGTTGTACTTTTCAAACTGCATCGTGTCCCTGTTGTAAAGATTAGTCTGGTCCTTCGCCCAGCTAGCTTTAATTCTATACTGAAAAACAAGCTGGATGGGGAACTACAAAAGCCATTTGGCAGGCTGCTATTTCTCCGTCAGTTACCATGGAAACAGTGATGGCTGAGTTGGGGGTTGTTATTAGGTAATAACAGGAAGTTTGTGATACACTGGAGATTCAGATGTCAAAAGCCATTTTTTTTTTTTTTTTGGTAGCAAATTACTCATGGATAAGTTCTGTCCTTCATCAGCTGGATCCTGAAAAGGTGAGGGGCTTCTTATCTACTACAAGGTGATTGAGTTGAGGCAAATTAGATATTTCTCTTACCACTCCTCCCTCTAGCACCTTCTGAGGGATGTGAACCCTGTGTGTGTCACCAGGAGAGATGGTTGTAAAACCACTTGTAACGGCAGAGGCTCTGAGAGTGCCCAGTGGACTGGAGTTCCCAGTGCCTCCCTTGCTAAGAGCAGAGTATAAAAAGGTCAGTTTGATCATAAATACTGACATTTTTCCAGGACTTTAGAAGAAATAATGATGTTGGAATCCAAAATAATATAGTGACTAGCTTCAATTTGAAAACTAGATAAACCGTGTGTAGTATTTCATAGAGTAGTAACAACCTCCCCCTTAGCCAGCACCCCCTCATGCTGTTCCAGTTATTCATACTTATTAGTCTGTTCCCTTCTTACAGCATCTGTCCCGAGAAATTACAAGAAATACTTGAAAGAAATCCTTGATTACCATCGTTTTTTTAATACATACCCTAATGACATTTAGAATATCAAGTTTTGTTTCCTATTTCTGAAATGATGTTGGTAAAAAGCACTCATCTGCCTCATTTATACTTACTCCTTTTTTTTGTAGGTGGATATGGTAATTGGCAGCCACTTGATAGGAGTAATAGAAAGTTTTCCCAGGAAAGGCACTATGAAAGTTGTTGCAGTAATCAGTGAATTTTTTTAAGCTGTTATAAATGCTAGATGTCATGGTGACTTTGTAGATGTGGGAATTGGAAAAGGAAATGACTAGCAGTGAAGCTGAACTCCAAGATCCCCTGGGCCCGTGAAATGGCATTCACTGAAGGAGTAGAGGGAGGCTCGGGGAGGGTGAAGGGGCCTGTGCATCAGGCATGGTGATTGAG